CTCTATCTCCATCTCAATGATGGCAGCAATAAGCGTAAATACACAGCTGTTTGTCTTGTGCGGTCTGATTTCCCAMGACTGGAACGGCATGTTAAGGTATAAATCCTGCAGAAAATAAAGGGTTTATCAGCACATGTAGAAACGCACTGCGCACGCTAGAAAGTGGTAGATAACACTGTTATTTTGAGAGAGTTCAAATAACTCCACCGACGGAGTAATAACTCCACCAACGGAGTTAAGTTTCTCTACCTGAAGAGAGTTAAATCTACTCTACAATGCAAATAGTTTTTACTTCTGTGGTTTAAATCAAAAAGAAAGTCAAAATTACTCCAAAAATGGTTCAAAAATACTCTCATTTGGAGTTAGTATATCAACTCCCTGAAAATAACAGTGAAGTTATATGTACAGGAATGGTTACCGACGCGACGGAGAAACAACAAAAATACTATTAACACAGAAATTTAAATTTCACGATAGCTACCAGAATAGAGCTGTCCCGAAAAATGATTATCTACAATGTAAATACGCATAAAAAAAAAGAAAAAGAAAACGGAAAATGGAGGGAGGGAGAGAGCCTCCTTAATATTTTCTCACCTGAGTCGTTGCTATGGGTCCAAATCCTGCTGTCTTGAACGACATCGATCGCTCCTCTGAAGTAAAATAGACACATGTCACTGGTCAAATCCCCGATCTCCGACCTCTGAGAAATACCGGGGATTTTACATTCGTGTGTTTTAAGTCGGCCATTAATACTATCTCAGGTGACCTGAGCTCTGGTAGCTTTTGTGCCGCTGCGCGCTACGGGCTATTAGCTAACTTTACTCAAATATTTGCTCGATTCTCTCCATTTCCCTAATTGTTGTGAGTACAAACAGAGTCCAACTTCTGGCAAGTCTAGACCTCTAGCAACAAGTATTGACTGTGTGTATACTGTAGGGTATAAACAAGTGAGTACAACCTACCATCATTGTACGTGACATCTGTCAGACCATCCATTCTCCATTGACTCTTTACTGGTTCCCACCAGGCCAACTGAGGCTGTTCAAAGTACATCACATTTCCAGGCAACCTGAAAATGACGATAAACAATATATAGGTACAGCGGTGACTACTACATGTAGGAAACACCAGGGTGATAGAGCGAAACGGACGGTACTGTACTTTGACTGTAATCGTACTGTAACCAAATTCTAGTGTCTCATTGCTTCACAAAAATTGTGCAGGCCAGGTCCGGTAACTGTCCGGTAACAGTGCGGTAATTTCTACCATACGTTTCCCACTCATACGAAATTGACTCTAGACATGGTTCTGGTACAACTTTACCAAACAAACATTCTGAATTTGAAGGACTTTCAAGGAAGATTTTGCATTTTGTAAGGATAATAATAATAG